AGTCAAAGCATTTTATTCAAACTGAATTAAAAAATACTTTTAATTTATAAAATATCTTAAATATTAAATTAAACATGATTTACATATTATAAAGCTCAAATTAAATTGGGGATGATGGAGCTTCTACTATTGGTACAGCACTTGGTTACTGCAAATTCCTTACTAATCTCTCATTTAGCAGTTGGTAAAATTATTTTATATTTATTTATTGATAACTTAAAAAGTTAGAATTATTTTGAATATTTTGATATAAATTTCAAAACAAATTTAAATAATTAATAAATAAATTTATTTTGTTTTAAAAGGAACAATAAAATCGGTGATAAAGGAGCATAAAATATTGGATTAGGTTTGAGTAAGTGCACTCAACTTATACATTTACAATTTGTCATATTGTAAATTTATTTCATTAAAAACTTTTTAAAAAAATAAAGTCAAAGCATTTTATTCAAACTGAATTAAATAATACTTTTAATTTATAAAATATCTTAAATATTAAATTAAACATGATTTACATATTATAAAGCTCAAATTAAATTGGGGATGATGAAGCTTCTACTATTGGTACAGCACTTGGTAACTGCAAATTCCTAACTAATCTCAGATTTAATGTTGAGTAAAATTATTTTATTTTTATTTATTGATAACTTAAAAAGTTAGAATTGTTTTAAATATTTTGATTTAAATTTCAAAACAAATTTAAATAGTTAATAAATTAATTTATATTGTTTTAAAAGGTGTAATAACATCGGTGATAAAGGAGCATAAAATATTGGATTAGGTTTGAGTAAGTGCACTCAACTTACACATTTAGAATTTGACATAAGGTAAATTTATTTCATTAAAAACTTTTTTAAAAAATAAAGTCAAAGCATTTTATTCAAACTGAATTAAATAATACTTTTAATTTATAAAATATCTTAAATATTAAATTAAACATGATTTACATATTATAAAGCTCAAATTAAATTGGGGATGATGGAGCTTCTACTATTGGTATAGCACTTGGTAACTGCAAATTCCTTACTAATCTCATATTTATAATTTCGTAAAATTATTTTATATTTATTTATTGATAACTTAAAAAGTTAGAATTATTTTTAATATTTTGATATAAATTTCAAAACAAATTTAAATAATTAATAAATTAATTTATTTTGTTTTAAAAGGAGCAATAAAATCGGTGATAAAGGAGCATAAAATATTGGATTAGGTTTGAGTAAGTGCACTCAACTTACACATTTAGAATTTAACATAAAGTAAATTTATTTCATTAAAAACTTTTTAAAAAAATAAAGTCAAAGCATTTTATTCAAACTGAATTAAAAAATACTTTTAATTTTTAAATATCTTAAATTTAAAATTAAATGTGATTTGCATTATTTAAAAGCATAAATTATGTTGGGGATGATGGAATTTCTACGTTTAGTACAGCACTTGGTAACTGTAAATTCTTAACTAATCTCACATTTGACATTTAGTAAAATGATTTATATTTATTGATAACTAAAAAAGTTAGAATTATTTTGTATATTTCGATTTAAATTTCAAAACAAATTTAAATAGTTATTAAATTAATTTATTTTGATTTAAATTTCAAAGTAAATTTAAATAGTTAATAAATTAATTTATTTTGTTTGAAAAGGAACAATAAAATAAGTGATAAAGGAGCATAAAATATTGGATTAGGTTTGAGTAAGTGCACTCAACTTACAAATTTAGTTTTTAGATCAGAGTAAATTTTATTTTTACTTCAAAAAAATTATATTAAAGTTTTTAAGATGTTATTTCAAATACATTTATTTTATAAGTAATTATGAGAAGTTTCTAAAATCCAGAGAAATTATCAACTGTAAAAATATAAAGTTATTGAATCTATTTATAAAGTAATTACTTTTTTTTTGTTTAAAATTAGATAATTTTAAGTAAAATTTTTAATTATATAAAATTAAATTTATATTTATTAAAAGTGAAGAATTGGATGAATATACTTAATAAAGAAAAGTAGAAAAAAAAAGGTTAGCTCAAAAAATAAAAAGATTAGTAAAATTAAAAGTTTGAATTTACTAAAATGAATAATTAAATATTTATTTATTAACAGTATGATTAAAAATAATTGATTAATAATAATAAATAAAATTTGTAATTTAATATTAAATGTAAGTATTTATTTTTTATATCCTTTTTATTCATTTTTTAATTTATACTTCATCTTTACTATTGATTAAAAATTTGATTAGTTATTTTTTTAATAGAATTAATGTATAAAAACAATACATGGGAATTATTTAAATGAATATTTGTTTATTTATGTTTTTTATATTTAATTAATGAAAAATAAATAAATTAAAAAATGAAAAAATTATAATTAATTAATTACTGAGATAAATTGTTATAATAGAAATTTAAATATAAAACTTATAAAGGAAATAGAATAGGAAACTACTATAAATCTGTTATTATTGATTTATTTATTACTTTTATTAAATTTTGAAATTTATAAAACAAATTAAAATCATAATCAATGTTCAAATTCATTAAAAGTGAATTTCACTAATCTTTTCATCTTGAAGGCTTCTCTTAAAGCTTATATCTTTAAGAAACTATCTGTAAACTCTATTCTTTAAATTTAAATTTTAATATTTAGTATATTTAAGATTGATATTTAATTCAGAACTAAATTTAAACGATAATTAATTATTACCTTAATAAAATAAAATTAATAACTTTAAGGTAGATAGGTATTTTATAATTTTAAGAATTAAAATAATTTTTATTAATTTGGATAAATGAATTAATAAAATTTATGATTCAAATATAAATAAAATATTGATTGATTGATTGCTTGGCTGGCTCGCTTAAAGAGAGTTTATAAATAATCTTTATTAAAAATAAAATTATTACTAAAATAAGAGTTTAAAAAAGGTCATAATTTAGCATTATGGTAAGAGAGAAATCATCTTTATTACACTTTCCTTACTTATTAGACAATATCTATTTATTAAAAAATAAAAGGATAATTTTTAAAAGAAGAAAGATTTACATAATTTACCTTAAATGATCCTCAGTTAATTTTAAATTGCAATATTAGAGCATTGGTAAAACTTAGAAAATTGAGCTAACATTATGAGTAGAAGTATCTTAATAAACATTTTTGCTTTTATTAAAAAGATGTTATGTATTTAAGTAAATTTGGTAATTATTTTTAAATTAAATTTGGTGAATATAAATAAAGCAAAAGATTCAAATAAAAATGAAAGTAAGTTAAAGAATTCTTTAAAGTTGAACAAATTAAAATGGACTTAAATAGATAAATTTTTTTATTAAATCAATACGTATGTAAATTAATTCATGAAATATCATGATGACATAACTAAAAAAAGTAAAAAAGAATTACCTCAAATCAAGTATTAACTTTTTTAATTTTTTGCAATTTTATAAGGCTATTCCTAATTCATGGACACTTTAGATAGTCATTTCAGTAGATCTATCAATAAAATAAATAAAATTATTTAACATTATATTAAATTTTTTAACCTTAAGTGAAGAGCAAATCTTTCAAGGTTTTAGTTGTTTGCTAGGATCTATGATATAGCTGAGAATTTAATATTCTAATACTTGCTTTCAAATAGTTTTTATATAAAAATTAAATAAACATTATTTGTTGACTAACAACATTCATTAATTTAAGGAAATATCAAATACAGACAGACAGATGTTTCAAATAAAGTAACCGGCACCTTTTGTTTTTATTTTCATTTTTAATTTACATAAGAAATATGTAATATAAAAATACATACAAGGGTTACTTTATTTGAAACATTTTTATAATTTATTAAAAAAATAAATTTTATATGAAAGCAATTAAATTAATTTTCAGTAAATAAATTATTAGTAAATAAAAATGAAACATAGATTTTTTATTAATTAATTTAATTGATATTTTTGTTATTTACTTCAATGAAAGTGATAAATTTGAAAGATTCTAATATTTTCCTAAACCTTCACTAAAAAAAGTTTCTTCTAGGTGGTTAGATACCAATGGCAATCTAATCATATAATTTTAAGAGAAAAATTTAATAAATAAATAATGCTTTTTTAGTTTAAAGAAATGTTATTTTAAAAATCATGAAAATTCTATAAGAATTTTACGGATAATTTGTAAATGTTAGAAGAGTAGTTAAATTTGACAGATTTTTGCAATCGCTAAATGAGGCCAAAAATTGACTTAAACCGTTTTAATCATCTAAACTCCTTATTTTTTAATAATTAAATAAAATATAAAGTTTATGTGAAAAATTACAAAGATAAGAAATAATCATAAACTTAATTGTCTATGTATCTATCTATCTAAAAAATTTTACTATAGTTTGATCAATAAGGTATGTAGATTCTTTAATTTATCTAAACTTTAGTACTAAACAGTAGGTGTTTTTCTAGTAAAGAAGCTATTTAAATATAAAATATTTTTTTAATATATGACTTAATTCCTTCTCAAAAAGGATCAAGAACGAACATTTGTTTTTTTAAATTAGTTTAAATCCTTATTAATTATTAACGTCAAGATTTAGAAAATTTTTATAGACTTTAATCAACACCAATAACTAAAATATTTAAAGGAGACAATACAATTAAATTATTTTTAAAGAAAGCATCAATTAATCAACATACATTATTAAAAATTAAATGGGTTTACCAAAACTGATGAAAATTTTTAATTTAAGTAGTAAATTTTTTAAGCTTAAAAAATATGAAAAAATTTCAAATTTCAAATAGAGGAATTAGGGTATTCAATTTTATTTATTTATTTGATTAATTTAAAGTTTAAAAAATGATAAAAATAAATCAACTAAATTTACATAAGATTAAGAGTCAGCTATTCTAAGTTAATGCAATTAGCTAATACCTATATTAAACTACAAATGCTAACCATTTAGAAGCTTATTAATTATTATTTTAATATAAAAACATTAAAAAAATATCAGCCAAGCTCTAAAAAATTTAATTAAAAAGTTTTTTGATCATAATTGTAATGCTCATTACCTAGCATCTAAATTCAATATTGACAAGTTTCCAAGCTTTTCAAAAGAAGAAGTTAAATCGATCAAATTAGTTTAATTTGTTCTATTTAATTTAAAATAAAAATTTAATTATCAATAAGCAAATCTAAATAATGGTTATTTATTTAAAACTAAAAAAATATTAGAAATTTTAATACTATTTATTTTTGATATTTAAAAGTAAATTTACATAAAAATATCCAAGCTTAATTATGAAAGATTTGGAATTCTCTATAAAATCAAGATTCTCTAAGCAAGATTTTCTTCAGTTGTGAAATTTTACCTATTAAAATTGAACATTCGATTAATTAGTTAAACAACAAATATTATAAATTGGAAAAATATCATTTTTTATAAAATAAAGGAAATGAGTTGTTAATTAAATACCCTTTTTATGCCAAAATTTATACATTTACACAGTTAGCGATACCTTTATATAAATCAAGCATTCCAATATTTCCTATTTGATTTTCTCTAAATAATTAGTTAAATATAATAATTAATTTTATTTATTTATTATTATTAATTTTTAAAAAAATGGATTTATGTGATTATCAATTATAAAACAAGAAACTATAAAATTTGATTATTAATAAAGGGAAATTCTTTTAAGTAACTTTAAAATTTTCAATAATAATAAAATAAACATCTATCAATATTAATATAAATTTTTATAGTTATTTTTTTATTTATTTACTTAAACAAAATTTTAAATATGCGAATTGATCAATAAGTAAGTAAATAATCAATTACTCAATTATAAGTGTTAAAGATTCTAGGTTTTTCAATTTAGATAAAGCTGAGCCAAGAATAGTACCACCTTTTGCATTAATTCCATTTTTACTTTTAGTTTAAAATAAATTAAATTGTAAGTTGATAGATTTAATTAAATTAGCTTTTTTATTTCTTAGTTTATTTATATGATGCTTTAGAAATTTTATTTGTAATATTGTAGAAAAATTATTAATCTTAATATTTGCTTACCTTAAACTGAGATTAAGATCTTTAAGTTAAGAGCAGTGCTCTAAACCAGTAGATAAATCAGAAATGCTTTTATTTGTGATTTGATTTTTACTTTTAAAGTTATTTAAAATTAAGTAAATAGAAACTTAGTTAAAAACCATTAATTACTCCAGATTTAAATGTAAGTTTAAAAGGTTTGATAATTTATTTAAAAAGCTACTTAATTTAGATAAGCCAGAATCACCAAATGCATTAAAACTTTTTAAAAAAAAAAACATGTTTCAATGTTATTTTATGAAAAAATGTTTTATAAAATTTAAATTAAAAATTAATGTTGAAAAATATTAAAATAAAATGCTGATTGATTGAACAAGTTTTAAGTTCTAAAAATTTTATTTATTTGAAGTTTTAAAATATGTAAATAAATAATTACCTTAAGTCTAGCTTTAAGTATTTTAGATTAGCTAAATTTGACACTCCTAGCATCAACTATTGAACTCCTTATGCACCAATAGAGTTAGAACTTTTCAATAAAATAATTTTTTCAGAAATAATTTAGAAAATATTTCTTTTTCTCATCAGATTTAAATTTTATCTTTGGAATTTAAATTTGTTGGTATTTAATTGGTTTTTTGTTTTTTTTGTATTGATTTTACCTTAATAAAAGCTTTAATTTGATAAGTTAAGTAAAATTAGCTAAGCTAGAGCCTATGAGA